GGCACGGAGCTCTCCTCTGGGCGCCTCCCGTCCCGTTTCGTTTTCCCTCGTCACCCTCTAGACCACCCAGCGCAACTCTGTCGACCTCCACGGCCCTGAGAAAGTGTCCGGCGCAGGCAGAGTTGGACCGGCCCCGGCTTCATGCCTCTCACGGGCTCTCCTTTCGGGCATCGCGGGCCAGGTGAGTACCGCGCTGGTGACTCGCAGCCGGCACCGCCGGCGGCAGCGATGCTGCGGGGACGCGGGAGCTTCTGTAACCAGGCTGATTCCGGGGTTCCTGAGTGAGAAGACCTCGAGGTGGAGACTGAGGCTCCGGGAAAATGCTCTCGACAGGGATGGTGGACACACTGGGCCCATGGGCATCTGACCTACACCGCCGCCTTCTCGCTCTTTCTCCTACCTGCCTGCACGGCTCATTGTCCTGGGTCATGGCAGGGTCACGCCCCGGGGAAGCTTGCACTGGGTGAGGAGTGGCATGGACTTGGGGAAGGGCCCTGGCACTTCAGAAATCCTGAGTGCAGTTCGGGAGCTGTCCAGCCTGGCAGGGAGCCCTGGGCTGGAGTTAGATACACTTGGTTGGGGCTGCTGAAGAGGGAACTGGAATTGAAGAGGCCTTGGAAAGGTGCGGAGTGCGGCTGGGGTACCTACTCCACCAGATCTTTGAGGACTCCCTGAAGGATCCTGAGTGGACTGTGGCCTCAGTAGCAACTCTTCAGTGCGGCAGTGGCTGCAGGCTGAGTAGAGTGAGCTGTAGTCTCCATGTCTTCCCCACGCTGAGGCTTGGCTCTCGGGGAGTCTTCCAACTGCCAGCTCACCACCTCTTTTCTCTCCCTGATCTTGCTTCCAATGGGTTCATAGATTCCAGGGCCCTGGGGGGTCCTAGATCACAGAACGGAGCTGGGGACACAGCTAGGATCCTACTGGCAAGTCAGGCCTGTGCAATAAAGCCTCAATGTGTAAAGAGGGGTGATGGGGGGGGTGCTCAGGTGATCCCAAGGATGACTGGGACAGAGTTGACAGTGAAAAGGGCCATCCTTGGGCACAGACTGTGCTCATTCAGGCCCTGAACACATAGGACTAGCCTCTGCCTATCCCCCAAGGGATGGAATGGGACAAGGCAAGATTATGTCTGGCCACTGGCTACTGTCCTGAGCAGGTTCCTTAGGTACTGCTCTCACTGCAAGAGCTGTGATGGAGCCCTGGGTCTGAACTTAGCTAGAGATGCTGGGCTTTTCTGGACTCTGGCTCAGAAAGTGATCACCTTGAGGCAGCCCAGGACTTCCTGGTCCATTCACTTTCCTGGCCTCTCTCCCAGGCCCAGGAGGTAGGACCAAAGCTGGGAATTCTGTAGTGAAGTCTCCTCTCATGCCAGCCCTAACCAAGCATGCATGACGTTGAAGCTTGGGCTTCCAACTTGGAACTGCCACTATCTTCTTGGGCAAAAACAACTCTGGTCCAGTCTCCCTAGCACTTGGTTCTTCTACCTGTAAACTGGGGATAACAGTACCATAGGCAGCCCACCTGTCTCACTGAGGTAAGTCAGAGGGTGGTACAAGACAATGGAGGGGAAAAGCTGTCAGAAAGGGCTTTTACTGTGGTTGTTTCTATTGTTGGTGCCCAGTGACTGGACAGATTACTTCCCCTCTCTAACTAAACCTGTTTCCTCATCTGTAGAGTGGGGTTGTGGAGGGTTGGACTAGATGACCTCTCTGGTAACCTCTCTTCCAGCTCTGATGGTCTTCGAGTCTAGAAATCTGTCTCAGTGTCTGTTGGAAGAAGGGAAGTGTTTGGAGTGGACAGGTGTCACGTCTGGAGTGCTCACCATGAGCAATGGGTGCTTTATGAAGTGCTTGTCATTTGTCACGTTACCTGCCCTGAGGGAGAGCATGAGGATTGTTCTCCTAGTGCACAGATGAAGGAACTGAGGCTTGTCTGAGGGCACAGAATGCATGGAGGTCCCATTCATCATCATTCTCCTCAGGGCTGTGGGATGGGGAAGGGTGACTGCGGAGGAGGTGGCTTTGGCCGTCATAGCTGAGAGAACTCACCGCCCTATCTCTGGCCAGCTGGCACTCCTGAAGCTGAGTTCCCAGGTCTGTGCTCAATTGAGGAGTGGCAGCAGCCAAGCCAGGCAGTCATGCTCCTAGGTTACCACCTTGTCAGCTAGCAAATCTCAGTCCTAGTCCCACTACCCCCTTTAACAACCCTGTGATCCTGTGCTTGTTGCTTTGCCCGTTGGAGCCTCAGTTTCTACATCTTAAAATGAGAACGGTAATGCCTGGTTTTCAGGTTTGCTCTGAAGCTGCAAGGATAAAGCAAAGCGTGTAACTTAGATGCCTTCTACATGTGGGATGCTACCCTGGGGTGAACAGCAGTGTGAACTAGGAAAGAGTAACATTCTTTTCTCTGCTTTGGAAGTTTCAGATCCTCTACAAAGATATGGGTTGGGTCTTGAGTCAAAATTTTCTTGTATTTGAGAGTTAAGTTTTCCCTAGGAAGTCTCGACATCCCCTTTGCTCTTGCTCCAAGAGATTCTGGGTGGGACCTTGGGGGCTGTGCCATGGCCATTGGCAGAGACACCTGCTACAGAACTTCGCCTCTCTCCAGGAGCCCTACTCTCATAGACCATGGAGAAAACTTGGAACATGGAATTCAGACACCCACCTGACCCATGCAGACACAGGATGGCTTAGGCATGTGAACAGAGGTGCTTTCACACACATGCAAATACACATAACACACAGATACATACATGCAATTTAGCCTGGGGACAAACATACAGATTCACAATAGGAACACATGGACTTACATCATTAGGTCGGATATTCAGAATCACATAAACCAACACACAATGATAAATACAGGCTTATGTCTCAACGGGAACATTCGCAGAGCCCACGCAGAGGCTGAAATCAGCTCAAATAGGCATTCCTTCGGTGACACAGAAATGGAGGAGACCTACGGGCCGTTGGGGTGACAAGCATGGAGGCTGTCAGCTGGCACCGTCTCTTCACACAAATGGGCACACCCTCGTGTGTTCACAAACGTGAGCACGCCCTCTCCCACCCAGTGCACAGATACAGAGAGGCCCACTCCACGCATCACACAGACACCTACACCCTGTAGGAACTAACCCATTTGCACAGCGGATCAGAGAGCAGAGGAACGGGCTGTACCCAGCCTAGAGCTCAGTCCATGTGGTTCTGGGGTCCCACTCATCCTAAGGAAGTGGGAAAGCCCTTTCTTTTCATATTCTTTTCACTCTCCTTGTCTGTGGAGGGCAGCTCCCAGCCAGGTCGCCGCCAGCCTCAGAGGCTCCCGGGCCTCCCTCCCCAGCAGGGGCCCCTGCCCAGCCTGCCCCCAGGCCAGGAGCTGCCCGGGCTTTCCCAGAGTGGCAAGGCCTCCTCCAGGCTCTGGAGTGTGACCGAGCGCCTGCTCATTTGACACAGGTCACCGAGCCTCCAGCAGATGGGGCCCTCGCTGTGGGGGGTCTCTGAGCCGGAGGGGCTGCAGGGGGAGGCTCTGTGGGGATGAACCACAGCTACACAAGCCCCGCTTACTCTCTTTGCAAAGTCCCAGACCACAGACACAAACCCCCGCAAGCTACATTCACACGCCAGACTGAGAGATTCAGATGCGGTCTCTAGCAAACGACCATGCTCCCCATCAGCATCGTTGCAGCCACACATGCACTGTAATATTCCAGACTCACATCCCAGATGGGTGAGCCGACATGATGGCGCATAGAACAAGATTAAGGAGGGAGGAAGAGGGGGCAGCTGGGACTGACTGCTTCCCCTGGCCGCTGTGTCTTGTCAGGGGGGTCCTCCTCGGAGTGCAGTAGACACTGGGAGCACACGCAGCCACAGATCTAAGGCCTTTTCAGTGTTGGGGGATGACTGCCTGCAGGACACTCCACCTGGATTCCTCTCAAGTCAGGAGTGCTGAGCAGAGCTAAAGAGAGGAGAGATCGAGCCAGTGGGGAGGGCAGCTGGAGGAGTTCGTGTCCTAGGATGCCCTTCCGTGTGCATGGGCTTTAAGTCTTTGTCTGAGACAGGCTGGGCTGGAAGTGGGGTGGGACATGGCCAGCACTCATAGCGCTTACACTTCCTTTCCCTCCTGCCAGTCTTCTCATGCCCTAGACCTGGTGTTCTCGGAGTGTCAAGGGTTCTGTGTTCCATTTTGGCTCAGACTCAGGCCTGGATGACATTGGACCAGTCTCAACCTCTCGATCCCTCTCAGCCTCAGTATCCTGGTCTGTAAGCTGGGCGGGATGGTCTCCACTGGGTTCTTGTGAAGGCAGGATGAGATCACTGCCCTAATGGAAACTTGGAAAGGGAAAGTGTGGCTTGGTTTTCCTCCCTGGCTGCCAGGGGTGAGTAAGAGGCTATGTGAGCAGGAGCGGAACCTGCCTGCTCCCCTAACCAGTTCTTGCTAAGCAGTGTCAGGCATGACCACGCCCATACCCTGCTTGTTCTGTGCTGGAACGTGTTTTTGACTGGAAGAGTCTGGCAGGGTCCCGGCTGCTGCAGATTCCAGCCTGGATAGGCGAATCCTCAGCCTCTGTGCAGGTTGGTGCTAGCTAGGCAGGTTCACAGGTCTCACCGCCGTCCAGAGAGCTCTCCCACGTGGCGTGTGATCACTTTTCTGAGCTCTTGAGCCCCACCCCTCTAAACTCAGCTCCTCCAGATGTCCTACCTCCTCTGTCCTTGCTCTGTTCACAGGCACCTAGCATAGAGGAACAGAGGGGTGGGAGAGGCGTGGCTGCCTTTGGCAGTCTCATTTAAAGTTCCCGATCTCTCAATCTTGGTTAAGGGATGGAAACATAAAAAGTGAAATACTTCTTAGGAATGAAACTTTCCTTGTATTTTTTCTCCCCTGCCTCAGCCCCCTAGGTCTCTGGGTAGGGGTGAGGTTCCTCCCAGTGCATTGTTGGAATATTCAAATTAGAGGTGGTCAATTGCTCTTGAAATTTACTTTCATTTTTAGCAGAATGGCAGCCTCCGAGCTGGTGTTAATGCCCACAGTCCGGTTATGCAGAACACGCTCTCTGCAAATCGGTAAATTGTAAGTGGGGATTAATCATTCTAAAAGGCTGGGGCTGAGTTTGAGTTTCTCTCTCTCTCCTTTACTTATTTATTTATTTTTAAAAAACACACTTTTTATCTGAATGGCTGCAAA